GATTCATTTACTCTCTCCCTCTCTCTCTCTCTCTCTCTTTCTCTCTGTCTCTCTCTCTCTATCTCTCTCTGACTCTCTTTTACCCCCTCACTCCCCATCTCACTTTCTCTGTCTTTCCTTCTTCTCTCTCTCTCTTTCTCTCCCTCTCTCTCTCGTTTACCCCCTTACTCCCCCTCTCACTTTCTGTCTTTCCTTCCCCTCTTTCTCTCTTTCTCTCTCTCTCTCTCTCTCTCTCTCTCTCCTTTTTCTTCTTGCCCTCACCTTCTCTTCTATAGGCTCTCAGACATTCTTGACATTTACAAAGGTTGAAAGACAAAGTAGCTTTGTGTCCTGATAAGGGCGAGGCCTCGTCTGAATGTGAAAAGCCCTCTCAGGAGAGTCCAGTGCTTTGGCCAGCAGGAGAGCAAAGGGGCATCCAGTGTAGAGGTGGGCGTGGTTATTCAATTAGAAAAAAAAATGGCTAAAATGATCACATTAGCATTTGCATCATGTGGTCACTTTATTGGAAACCCTTACCTTGCAACTTCAGTAATGCTGTGTGTGTATTATGACAGTAGATGGATGACCGACAAAAATGGGTATTCAATGACTGGGCCCCTAAAATTTTAACTAGGCCCCTCATTTAGACACTGACACAACTGTACACCCTCAACTCTCAGGAAGATCCAACAAAATGCCTCAGCAGTGAGCTTCCATCAACACTGCACAGACCGAATTGACATCTATTTATCTCCCTCATTTATATTGCAGCTCATCCATGCATTCAAACAGATCCTTCACAGCCAGCAACATGATATATTCATTATTTATCATTTTCAAATCAGAAATATTTAGTCTGATGTAAACATTTAGGTTCATATTAAATGCTAGTGGGTGGAGTGCACCAACACCAACCATGCCATTACCATGTCAGTGTCACTGCTGTGCTGAGAATGGTCCACGTCCAAATAATGTGTGGTCAGCACTGGTCCTGTGATCAGAAACTGACCAATGATGAATGGGGTAGGGGGTGGCTGACAAATTGTACGGCAGTGGAGGGGCTACTGGGAGGTGAGCCTCATAAAGTGGAGAGTAAGAGGAAATGCAAAGCAGATGTTTTTTTCAATAAAGTGGACGCTGAGTTATTTTTCATGCCTGAGTAGACTGATAAATGAATGTGATCAGTTATTAATCTCAGTGTTACTGAGCTCTGCTAAAGCCTGAGTAGACTGATAAATCAATGATGTAACTTCATAAATGATAAGCTTAGTATTTGTGTTGTTCTGGACTCGTTTCATGGAAAGTTACGTCATGAACCTCTTAAAATCCGAGGTTTATTACATACCAAGCTTTATTATTCAGTAACTACAGGGACTTTCAGTGCAAACTGGTAGAGCTATTCTTAGTTTATAGAAGTGTGTAATAAAACTTTGAGCCTGCCGCAGGAGTCACATAAGGGGTTTACTGAAAATCACATGATCACCCACTTTATTGTCTAATTTGCAAGATTTTCTTATATGGCATGTGGTGTTTGCTTAGTTCATGAGACAGCAGTGGGATTATAGAAGCAGCAATGAACCAAAGCAGGCCATGAAAGCCAAACTAATGTTGAGAATTTTAAATGAGTGAATTCTTCATGAAACATATTAACTGAAGGATTAATCGAAAAAAAACTGCCAAACAGTAAAAACAAGGAACTGTGTGAATTAAAAATTGCAACTGCAGAGTTTTTCTCATGTGTCAATATGTGTTCTGAATGTGTTACTTTTCATGTATTTTAATGGAATATGCTCTGCTCAACCCTAATTAGCACCTCTATTAAAGAAAAAAAAATATGTTCTCTATTATACTTGAGCACTTATTCTTTTCAAAAACTCACTATACTCAGAACGTTTGCATGGCATTTTAGCCTGCAGCTCTTCATATGATTTTGGAGGGAGCTACTGCCGCTAAGCAAGCCAGCTTACTAGGAGCTGTCACATTCCCATTAAAGGCCCAGAAGAAAATATGGCTCACCAGACACATATTTGTGTCTCAGATGTTTTTCCCCAGAACAAAAGTCATAAAGAAATGGAAACAAAAGCAACGGAAACCTGTTTACCGCAGAGCTTCTTGCATAACCTTTAAGGAAAAATAGCCGAATTTATCATTTAAAACAGATGGTGGGGATATTACATCATACCCGTAAAAAAAGAGAGAGAGTGTCAAAGCAAAGCAGTAATTGTTTTGAGGGAGAATGCAGTTTTTTTGTGTTAATTTGGTTAACAAGGGTTGGGGGGAAAATGTGCTGATGTGCAAACTGCAGACAGGAACACCTGGAAGCGGAGTGAAGTCACAGCCGCTCAAAAAAAAGAAAGAGTAATGTTTTCCCCGGGTTCGTCGTTCTCCTGCTCTCGGCTCGCTCTGCCATACTTTAATAACGCGCGGCAGACATCGAGTGTTAAGATGATGAATTTCAGTCTGACTTCCAGGATTATCTCCCAATAAGGAAGTGGCTGCCGAGCCAATATTAGCCTGCGCCGGAGCATTGTTTTACCCATGAGCAGGTTGCCAAGGAAACGTTACATAATCGGAGCAGAGACGATGCCCCCAGCTGACTGGGTGATGGAGATGGGAATGGAGATGCTGCATGTTTCATCTCATGTTCTCTCCTCGATGTTCTAACCAGCTAGAGTGGAGAACGCTTATGCCCTTTGACACCTGATACAGGGGCCTGTGTTCCAGTGCCTCTTTTGATCTAAATAGGTGGCAGGTAGTCTAGTGGGAAGAGAAGGGAACCAAGGGGGGGGTTGCTGGTCGGTTTCTCACACTCTAAGAACTGCAGGCTTGTTTTTTTCTAACTCAAACGCTTCTTTGAGCCTGTTTGGTCATTGTGTTTTTCCACCAATGTTGTGTCATTTTGGGTAGTTTTAGCTGCTGGGTTAGTGACTGGACCACAGTAATAACCCAGTCAATGGGTATTAGCTAATGGTGACCATTAAGCCAAACCCTGTCAGAAAAGCAAAACCATCTGGTTTAATCCTCACGGTCATTTTTCTGCAGGGATTCTTTAAAATATGTTGGAACAGAACCTTGTATGTCCAATTTTGTTGCAGTTTTTGATATATTTGAAAATGCCTCTTGGCCTTTTCACTATGTGTTTATTGTATGAATAAATGGACCAAAAGAAACGGCCCAAAATGACTTGGAAAAAACACTGGTTCCACTGACTTACATTGAAAGTAAAAAAGAAAGTAAAAGTAAAACGTTTTTTCCTTCTCCTGTAAAGTTTTTCCATGTACTCTTAAAACTACATGAGAATTGGGGATTTGGAGACCTCTCTGGTGGAAATGTGTAATTGCATTTTGTAAAATTTGTTGTGCTTTGGACCCCTTATGCTACGCTAATACTATGTGTTTTCATTTTAACAAAAACAAATCTTTAATAGTGCAGGTTTAAGTAAAACAAGTAAAGATATGTTTTTATTTTCAGTAAAATCTCTAATATTTAACATATTTTTCTGTTTGCTGTGTGGCATTTTGTACAAGATTAGTGTTAGCTCACTGAAGTTAGCTAATGTAGCTAAGATAGGTTTGTTTCCACTCTCTCTTACTGTTGGCTAATGTTAGCCAAACCGAGTTACATAGCCATTCACATGTAATGTCCGATATGCTGGGCTGCAGACTGAAGGGCTGCTAGGAGCGGGATCCAAGATACACTGTTATGTTCAAAAGTATCCAAGCACCTGTTCATCCAACATATCTTCTAGAATCAGAGGAGGTAATAGTCAGTGTGAGTTAAATAGTAAGTTAAAATAGCTGAATCCAGCAACTAGAAGCTGGACGTTTGCAGTGTATGTCCAGCCTGTACTGCCCCAGGCAGCGCTGCTATACTGCTCCCAATCTGGATGTTGTTAGCCAGCAAAATGATGAAAATTAGGTACAATATTTATTTAGACATGTAAAGTTATAGTATAGACCTAGCTCTAAACATAAGCTAAAGATAGCATTATTACACTAGGCTATTATATTAGCCAACAAGCTAATATAAGCAAACATTAGCGTGACGTTAGCTACTCTGCTGTAAACTCTGTTGGTAGCAAGCTTTAGGGGTCTTCTCCTCTGTCTAAGATGTTGAAGGTGGTTGGCCAGCTGGACGTGCAGCTGCACTAGGTGAAAACATACCTTATGCTCATTAAGCTAGTAGCCCAGTTTGGTGAAGCTGGTCATGTTAAACCATCAAACTCACACTAGACTCTGTTAATTCAGCAGGTCTGCTAGCTTAACAGCTTTAGCCAGAGACTGAAATTAGTTTTCTTTGCCTTTCACTTTTTATAGCAATGTCTGACTTAATGTGTGGCAGCATGTGCTACAGTTTTTTCAGCAAGGTTAGCATTTTTCTATTTCATGAAATGAATGAATTTCAAGTGAATGACAGCCAGCTAGCTAGCGAAGGTAGCTAACAGAGGATGTGCCTTTGCACACATGCTGTTATTGTTGAAGAATGAATAAATCACAACACAGAAATGAGAAAAAATTAAAAATCCAATGTAATGTATTGTAGATGAAATATATTTATGCTGTTTATCATTTGTAGTGATAATCTATGTCAGCTGTGTCAGCAAGTGTTAGCTGTAAGTGTAGCTTTTTTTTGTTTTGTTTTGTTTGGAAATCCGCAGAATTTTTACAGATACAACTAAATATATGAAATACTCTTAATATTATTACTACTAATACTATTAATATTAAGCGAGGGAACTATCTGTATTAACAATACATACTCTTATTTAACAGGATTTTCAATTAAAGGAGTGAAGAAATTGACTAATTGGGCTTGATTTTTACATTGTGGAAGTATAGTTTGCTGTCATGCTTAGCCTCCTTATCTGCAGGAAGAATGGCCATGTTTCAGTTGAAATTGCTAATTTTTGGTGGAGTTGGACTTGAATTAAAGCAAAGAATCCAGTTCTAGGTTTCATGTTTTGTCATTTAAGTGTGTTGGTTTTACAGATGGTGTCATTCTGATGTATGTGTGTGTTGTAGGTGCTGATCTGGGAGGTCTGATGGACTTGGAGACTCTGTATGAGGGAGTGGAGCGGAGCCTGAACCAGAGCCGCCGAGCCCGCAGGCAGTCTCCCGAACGAGCCTACAACATCGAGGTGCTACTTGGGGTGGACGATTCAGTGGTGCAGTTCCACGGGCAGCAGCGCGTGGGGAAGTACCTCCTCACTCTCATGAACATTGTGAGTCTTTGATTCCTGATCGTTCGTTATGTTCTGCTGTTAATAGGGATGTTCTATTAGGGCTTCACCTGGAAATGTGACCAATCCGATCCGATACCAGGTATTTCATCGGACAAATATCAGCAAAAATTGCTGGTTCGGATTTCGCTGTGGGATGGTAAAGTGTTTGAATAGTTTGAGCAGAACAGCGTACATTTAGATCTTTGGTCATCTGTATGCAGTCTTGTGAAGGACCAACACTGATCTCTCAGTAAATAAAGCCTGATGTTGTAGTGCAGGTAGTGCTGTGATGTCCCATTATAAAGAAATGCAATTTAATTTCCACTGGCTCTTTAATTCGCTAGTTAAAATATATATTTTTTTAATTTCTCATGTGTCGTTCTTGTGGTGTTTCAGAGCTTTGTCCAGGCGGATGATGTAAGCATCCAGCTCAGGTAAATCTGGTCGCAGTAGGTCAGGGGCTTTGCATCGTGTGGTCTGAGGTGACAGTAAGCCGGGGGAAAATATGGCTTTGAGTGAAAAGCTTGCTCATCTGCTCCTCCCAATCCATCCTTTAATCTCCTGAAATTAAACGTGCATGTGGAGGCAGAGTGAGGGAGGGAGAGAGACATGATTAGAGACAGAGAGAGAGAGAGGCTCAGAACACTCTGATTAGGTTTTCTGTAAAGTAATATGAGGTAAGGCCCGCTAACATCGGCCAACATTAAGCAACTGTTGACTTATTGATATCTGTGAAATTCCCTCCAATAAAGCATCAATAATCAGAGACTTTTCTTATATTGTAACCAAGGCTCCAGACTAAGGTCGTCCCATCGTCCTGTGGATGATAAAAATGGTGCATGGAATGATGTTTAAACCTTTTTGGGACACTTTGGGGACAGTTAGCTTAGCAAAAAATCAGCCCCGGCTGACCCTAAATATAGCATTGTTTAGTTCTTTTAAATTGGCATTTTAATTGTCTTTAGAGCAGCATTTTGGCGTCAGATTTCCACCAGAAGCATGATGCTAATTTCCTATGTAATATTACCATCAGGCTGTCCATTCACATTTTTTAGTATGCTCTACTTAAACATGGATAATTAAAGCCTGAAATGGACATTTATGTAATTTTTTTCTTACTTTGACGGAGTTTTACAGCCCCTCCAGAATCTTTTAGAATATGTACAGAATATAATGTCAATTAAATGCTTGTTGTGATCAACAATGTCTCATAGCCCTTAACATTAACCCTTTCAGACACAAATTATGTTACAGGCCACAATGATGGTCTTGCTGTATTTTTATTCTAAAGCCAACCATAAATTATAATGAATCAAATGTTAATAATTGTTTACAATTACTATTTACTAGCTATTTATGATGCCCATTACAATGCATGCTGGTTCTATGCAAACAGCAACATTTGAGGACAAAACTTAATTTGGTAATTAACAAAAAGTATTGCAAGAAAACCAATGCATTTCAATAATGCACTTAAGGAATAAGGAATATAGTAGGAATAAAGTATTGTGGGAAAAAGTTACATATATAGTTACATGTCCTCTTATAGCTGCTGTATACACATTCATGTATTTATGGACCACAGATGTGCTTGTATGCATCATATGTTTATGTGTGAATGTGTGCTAAGCATGTATTCTGTGTAATGCTATTTGATTGCTATATATCATTGCTATCTTTGATTTTTTGGGAATCTGTAACATGGTAGTACGAAAATGCTAAAGAAAAATATTAGATGAGCAAAACGAGCGACTGAGTGAACAGAAGTGTCGACTTTACCAGCAGAACTGACTGCTCGAAATTCCCTTTTTAAACCCTCCAAATAGTAAAAGAAGCTGCCAATTAGCCAAAGCATCACAATACTTTAAAATACTTAATCTGTCATTGACTTGCTATGTTCAAACTGGGATTCATGTAGCAACATACATTATACATGACCCCTGATATAAATCCATTACTGTGCTAGCTTGCTAGTTAGCAAGCTAAAGGCTACACAGCTAGCAACAACAAAAGGAAAGGCAACACCAAAGCGTATAACTAGATAAAGCAAAGGTTCACATGTTGTATGTTCTATTAAAATCGTTTCGCATGGCTAATTTGCTCACTGAGGCCAACCTAGCCGAGGCCCCTGGGCCCTTTCAGTACTTCATGTCAGTATTGGTTACAGCGTTCTCATATCAGTCGAGCCTTAGTATGAGGTGACGGTGGCATTAGCGTGGCATAAAAGCCCTCAGTGAGACACAGCAGTTTGTGTTCAGATGTGACATATTTTTTTCCTGTTCTTCAGGTGTTTCCAGAGCCGCTCTGCAGCGGCTTTCTCATCCAGGGCGATGGGGTGGGGGGCGGATTTCAAATGGCGTATTCAGAATAAATTACTGAAAAAACATAAACAGAAATATATAAATAATGTCATCTTCTCTCTCCCACGCACCGAGTTTCTCACCACTTTCTTCTTGAAAGTTTACTCTGCTCATTTTTGGAGCAAGAGTCTCCCTCGCGCCGAGCTTAGAACGAGTGAAAAGAGCGAGACAAAAAGCAGTGTGATAAGAAGTAAGAGCGGGGTTTTGCTCTTTTCCCCCGTTTTTACGGCTCTTCCTCTCGGCTTCTCCTTTCAGAACACTTGCACTGAGATGTGAGCACTGCATGTGTGTGTGTTTGTGTGTGTGTGTGTGCGTGTGTGTGTGTGAGGGTAGTAGTTTTGCTGAATGATTGATGCGTGTGTGTTGTGTGCCCCGCTCCAAGGGCTGTATATGTGTGTGGGGGTTGTCTGAGTGTGTGTGATTGTATTTGTGCATATGCCTGCTTTGTGTATGTGTGTGTTTGTGTGTATGTGTGTCTATATTTGTGCGTGTATGAGTCGACAGTTATGTGGTGCAAGTCCAGTCGAGGCCAGCTAATCGCTGATGACAACACAAATAGAAGAGAAGAGAATGCTTTGCAAAAAAAGCGACTTTAAAAACTCATGACTAAGCCAAACTCCACAGGTCAGTAGAGCGTGATGTGTCCTTTCCAACAAGCCCTGCGTCGCAATGTTAGCCTTCAGGGACCCAGAGATACGGACCCTAAGTCCAACTGAGGCGCACCCTAGGCAGCCTTGCCGAGATGCTCTCTGAGGTCCAGAAAGCCAGAAAAATGTAGAGCATCATAATAAGAGTAACTGACTTCAAACAGGATTTTAACGCAATATGCACCTCCTCCAATGACACAGAACTTTTTTATTGTAGTCTTTGGAAAAACAGAAATAATGCTGAATATCCGATATTTGGAACACTGTAGATTGGCGGGGAAATGTTACCGCCAGGTCAGTACAGCATGACGTGCCCTTTGCAATGAGACCTGGATCGCATTGTTAGTCTTCAGAAAACCAGAGATATGGATCCCAAAATCCCCAGGATGCTCACCGGTTGTTGTCACTGAGGCGTTCCTGTTGCCAGTGTCATAATCACATGATCAGAGACATCAAGCTTAAAGCACCATCGCAGAGCAGTAAAGTCAAGTCGACTAGCCTGTGCAACCCATAGTGTGTATGTGTGTGTGTTCATATACGTATGTTTGTGTGTGTGTGTGTGTGTGTGTGTGTGTGTGTCTGTATATGTGTCTTTGTATCTGGGTATGTGTGTGTGTGCATGTGTGCATGTGTGTCTTTGTACCAGTGTATGTGTGTGTGTGTGTGTGTGTGCGCATGTGTGCATGTGTGTCTTTGTGCCTGGGTTTGTGTGTGTGTGTGTGTGTGTATGTGTCTTTGTATCTGGGTATGTGTGTAATTGTACCAGTGTATGTGTGTGTGTGTGTATGTGTGTGTGTGCATGTGTGTCTTTGTGCCTGGGTTTGTGTGTGTGTGTGTGTATGTGTCTTTGTATCTGGGTATGTGTGTAATTGTACCAGTGTATGTGTGTGTGTGTGTGTGTGTGTGTGTGCATGTGTGTCTTTGTGCCTGGGTTTGTGTGTGTGTGTGTGTATGTGTCTTTGTATCTGGGTATGTGTGTAATTGTACCAGTGTGTGCGTGTGTGTGTGCGTGTGTGTGTGCGTGTGTGTGCGTGTGTGTGTGTGTGTGTGTGTGTGTGTGTGCATGTGTGTCTGTGCCTGGGTTTGTGTGTGTGTATGTGTCTTTGTATCTGGGTATGTGTGTAATTGTACCAGTGTATGTGTGTGTGTGTGTGTGTGCATGTGTGTGTGTATGTGTGTTCATTTGTGTGTGTTTGTGTATGTGTGTATTTGTATATATGTGTATGTATGCATGTGTTTGTGTGTATGTGTGTTTGTGTGAGATACTGCTAAAGTTCAATATTGTGTTATTATCCAAATTCATTGCAGTCACATACAGTAAACATGATATGAAGTAATCTAAAGAATGTCATGAAAGTCCAAATATTTTTTGACTGTTCTAGTAGAGAGAGAGAGAGAGAGAGAGAGAGAGAGTAAGAAAAGAGGGAAAGAGAGAGGGAGTGGAGGTCATTGTGAGTTCGTCCTGGATTATATGTGGGCGGCACTTTTTAGAGAACCACAAAGTCCAGAACTAATGCAGACATTCTGTGTGTGTGTGTGTGTGTGTGTGTGTGTGTGTGTACTTGTGTGTGTTTCACTATAAAATATTTTTACAAACGTAAATGTGGTGTAGATTAAAAGTTCAAAATCAACATGTGTGACAAAATTTCTATTTATTGCATTAGCTATAAAACTGATTCCTACATCAGTGGACTTTATTATACACTGCATACAACATAATAACTATGAAAGAGGGATAATTACTAATGACTTACACCACACTTTTGTTATTGCTGGCAACAGAGACCACTGGTGTAAGTTAAAGGGGGCCTTAAAGTTATTCAGAGTGATCTGATGTGAAGTGGTTAATTGTAGAGAAAGTTACAGACTGATTTCTTTACAGTGGTGGTGATGGGAACCAGCGGTCTCCATGTCTACAACACAAATATAGCCATTTTATTTACTATCCAAACAGCCAGTGAATCTACACGTGTCTTCTGAGTTTCTATATGTA